GAAGAATTCTACTGTAACCCTGAGGTAAAAGTTGTTCAGTTTATTTTTCTGCATAACATAGTTGTTTTTTTGAGTTTTTGGAAGTTTTTTTTTTGTTTTTTTTTTTTGCTGGGACCTTTCTTGGTCCTTGCACGGGCTGGCCACTCGGGACCCGGGCGGCCCGGCTGGTAGCCTAGAGTTCAACATATAAATTCACACGCTGAGAAAAATGAATACGAAACATCGTGCAGCACTCGTAACTGAAATCATATACAGAACATGTAAAGGACATGAAAAGCAGTGGAGTACCAGTTACTGAAATCACACAAGAAAAATGTAACATAATACAATGAATCCTACGACTTCCACATACTGACTAATAGAAAAGCAATATTGTACAAGTCGCGTCGGCGGCCGACCCACTTTGCTACGACTAACGCTATTGTACAGACACCCTAGTCATACTAGAATCGGACACACTAGAAACCAAGAACACAACTACAACTACAGCACGCACAGTGCCTTACTACCAGTGACTACCTGACAACAATGAGATAAAACAGCACGACCAAAAAAACAAGAGCAGAGACTACGATGAAGTTGCGTGCAAGTAGGGAAAAGCGGATTGCTGGCCTCCTGGTCATCAACCCCTCTTCCTGGTCTTCCCCTTCCCGCTATGCCTCCTCTTACCCCCCCGAGTACCGGATGTCAACCTCCCTTTCCGTTGTGCAGATGACGATGTCGGTGCAGAAGAACGTCTCGAAGCACGCGTCGGTGGGGGGGGTGGGGACTCGTCGTCTTCATCGTGAACACCGTCGCCTCTCTCACTCTCCTTCTCCTCATCACCCTCATAGTCATCATCGGCCCCCCACACAGTTGGTCCTGTCTCAGGATTATTTTCCTCGACGATGACAGGGTCGCCTCCCTTCCTCAACACAACAACCCTCGCACTAGCCTTTGCGATCGTCTGCAGACGGCGGGATCCGCGAGGCATCCCCAACCCCTCCGGCCCCGAAAACTCTCCAAGTGCAGCGCCTCCCTATGCAGGCACCGGGCGTGGACGAGGCACTCCACGCTTGCGTGGAGTCTGATCATGCACAACATGCGTCGCTGCTTTGAAAGCGTGGTCCAAGGTCGAGGTGGACAGTCCTCTGCCTCGAACTCGCTGAGGCTCACAACCTACTGCTGCTACCTCCTTAACTGCTCGCGTCCTGGCACCGCACTGACCCAACCCCGGCTGAAGGCGGGCAGTGTGCTCAGTGACACAGAGAGTGGAATCAAAATCTATGTTCGTTCTCCTGTACAACGTTGTGTCGCCCACATCGCGCCCAACCACTGTCGTGTCACGAATCCACGATCTCCCAGGCACATGTGGGGATGAAGAGCCTCGGGATGTGGGCGACGACGATGGATCACCCTCACGTGGTCTAGGAGGAGGGGGTGACATGTCTCCTACACCTGACGCTCTCTCTTGCACCCCCCCGGAAACCCCTGGAACATCTACCCTGCTCGGCCCTCTGGTGGAGGTAGACCTGGACCACACCGGCGATGCAGGGGCTCATGGAACCGAATGAATCCTCTGCTAATTGGGTTGTTTGAGTTTCGGCTAATATACTCGTCGGTCCAGTCGAGTCCCATCGCGCACAGCGGTCGCAGCCAACTCCTCGGCATCCAATGGATGATCCACCTCCTGCGGAGCCGGTCGTCGAGGACGTGGACGCTCAACCATCGGCTCGAACCCCAAATCCTCGATGACAACAGGTGGCATCGTGTGGAATGCCAAGTCAGGCAGTTGTGACCGTCGGGCCTCGACCAAGTGCAGGCCCGAGAACAGGAGGACCGGACCCATCTGTGTCTCATAACCTCCTGCCGGTGCGTTTCTAGGCTCACCGTCCCCCCTCTCTTCACCAAGTGCAGGCCCGAGAACGGGAGGACCGGACCCATTTGTGTCTCATAACCTCCCGCCGGTGCGTCTCTAGGCTCACCGTCCCCCCCCTCTCCACACTCCGTGACCTCATGCACTGCTTGTCGCCCACCCTCCATACCCTCCTCTGCCTCTGCTGCAACGACCTCCCTAACATTCTCCCCCACCACTGCCCCACCTTGCCCACCATCTCTCCCCGTCTCTCGACGCCTGCGCTCCTCTAAGGCCCGTGCGAACGTCTGTGCACACGCGTCGCTGGATGCCATCAGCCGAGCCCTCTCTCGCTCCGTGATGTCGCGTGCTGCATCTGGAGACTCAGGCGTCGTCCTCTATCTCGGGGACTGCGTCAAAGTCTCGCCTGCCGCCTCGGCCCTCGATGGAGCCCGATCCGTCGATGTCGCCCTGTCGCAACTAGGTGGAAGGCCCATCGACAAATCAAAGTCGAAGCGGGTCCCCATCTCTGAATCCGATATCCCCAACCCCCTCGCCACACTCGGGGTCACACCCGCCATGACCGGATCGAGCTCCTCCGTGAGGAAGTGCCGCATGAGGCGCTCGTCACCGCCCCTAGCGTCGTCCGCACCGTCACGTTGCATGGCAATATCCGGCACCTCCGCCTCTGCGGCTATCTCCTCGTCGTGGACTGCCACCTCCCCTTTCCACTGCAGCTGCTGACAGTGCCCCCTCCTCCTCCACTGTTGCTGCCACCTCCTCCTCCACTGTTGCTGTTGCTCCTGCTGCTGCTATCTCCTCCACCACCGCTGCTGCTATCTCCTCCACTGCCGCCGCTGGTGCTATCTTCTCCTCCACTGCTGTTGCCACCTCCCCCTCCACTGTTGCTGCTGCTATCTCCTCCACCGTCGCCGTTGCTGCTGCTGCTGCTGCTGCTGCTGCCACCTCCCCCTCCTCCTGCAAGATCCTCAAGGAAGGTGATCGTAACCTTAGCTGGTGGATCGCCCCGCCTCTGCGGAGAAGTCCGTGTTGAGCCAAGGAGGACGCCAACTCCTCTGTGTCCGCTGTTGCCGTGGCCGGCTCAGGTGGTGAGACGGGCGATGCTGGTGCAAAACTAGGAGCAGAAGGTGGCGGCATGGACGACTCTCGTCTCGTCAGAGTAGGAGTCGTCACCCGCGCCTCTGTTCGGCTCGTGCCTACATACGAGCCCCTGACCCTGTCAGCGCACACATCGCCCATGGAAGCCATCTCCCCGAAAGGGCCGCAAAACTCCTCGTCTCCCCCCAGCGTCTCCCTGTCCGCCCGGTCCACCGCCCGTCGTGCGGTGTGTGTCCTCGTCTGCGGAACGCAGGGTCATCTGCCGCCTCTGGTACCGGCTCCTCATCCGAGTAATCCTTCCTAGGGTAGGGACGAAAAATGCAAGCACGTCTACCAAATACGGCATCAGCAGAGGGCGGTGCAGAAGCCCTGATGGGATCGCGGGTAATAAGCGCAACCTGTTGGGCAATCTCCTCCTCCGTCATCCCCCTGCGTGTGCCCATGCGCACAGGCTCCACCTCGAGTCCTGCCTGGCACTCGAGCATGCCCTCGTCCCGCTGCCATGGCAACACATAACCGCATCCAGCCCGACGATACTCTGTCAACCGCATATTTGTGGTGATCTCAACGAGTTGCATGACCTTCTCGAAGGCCAATTGGTTGCGCTTCTTCGTGTGGATGCCCTCGTGGACTGCCTAGTTCCTCTCCGTTGGAGAAGCGCAATACCACATGTGTATCACCCGAAGAGCGCACCGCTGCAACTCTGGCGTGCCAGCCCCGAACTGAGACCACCAAGACGTGCACTCAATCGTCTTGGTATCGTCGTTGCACGCACGCCCACGAGCACGCCCCTTCGCCCCGCCCCAATTGCCAAACCTGCTCTGCTGCATATGAAAGTCCTCAAACTGCCGATATGCAAGGATGTACTTGTGCACCCTTCAACTCGAAACCCATCTGCGTCAGAATGTACCTTTTGGCTTGCCCTACAAACCAAGCATAGTATCAATCCACCTCGCCTGAAAAGTAACGAACATGTCGCCTGTGGGGGTTCAATAAGAACCCTGTGCAGTGAGCCGGCATGTGGTGTGTATGAGCCCCTGCGTTGTTGAGCGCATTGGTCCCGCACGGGGACCCTTCTGACCGCGTTACGCAGGATTATGCAGGACTTGTCCCTGAGAGCGTTTGCCGCTCCGGCCGAGTGCGCCAGCCTTACCTCTCGCGAGCCCCTACGACAGGATAGGGTCACGCGAGGCACCGCTTACCTCCACCTGCAGGAGTTGTCACCATCCCTTAGGTGGGCGTATCCCTGCCGAGCTACTGAACCACATGCGAAAGCTTTTCGTATGCAATTGCAGAGGTGGCCCAGCCGAGGGCGTTTCCGGTTCGTTGTAGCATAGGGGGGCTACGCGCGGTTGAACGCCCGAAAATCGAACCCGCACACGAATCGACGCACTGGGGGGCTGAGGTCCCAAACGCGACTCGGCGCTGGTCGACTAGGGTACATCACGCACCCTACCCGTACACCACAACACTCACATCTACCCACACCTAACACTTGGAAACACACAAAAACAAACACCACAGACAACACCACAACACCGCAACATTCCTAGTCCCTTCAATATCCGACCCATAACGTTATGCCGCGAGAATCAGATAGGTATCGCGCGCTTGGTTTTTCGTATAAGAGTTGTGCGCTCGCATGACCTCCTCATATCGATCAGCCATGTGGGCACTCGCAAGCACTCGCGCTGATGGGGTACTACGTGGTACTCGTAACTGTGCGGCCCTTGGTAATCTCGAGGGTCGTACTTGACACTCAAGTGTCGGCTGACAAGCGCGTTGCGGGGTTACCTTCTCGGCGCTAGACAACCGCCATGTGCGGTTGACGACCACAACCTCTTCTGCACCCTGTGCACTGCACCCTATGCAGAGGGGTTGAGTAGACAGCTTCAGGGTTGTCGTGGTAGCCAACCTCAAGGGGTTTGACTTTGACGGCTGCCACAAACCACAACGTCCAACCACAAACTCAAAAAGAAAACCAACCGCCGATAGAGAGGGACTCCACTTTGACCCATAACTTTATGAGGCGGAAGTTGGTAACTGTCGTGCGAGAGGTTTAGTATATGATCGCGCAGACGCAGAACCTACGCATACCGACCAACAATGCAGACTTGTGTAGGTAATCGTGATGTTGGTGCATTATGTGGCGCCCATACCCGAGTGGCCTTTTTTGGGCCATGGGGCCGCTCTCGACGCTCAGACGTCGACTAAGGTGTGCGCTAAGGGGGGTAAACCTTTAGTGAGCGCAAAATCGGTCTGAGGGCCTTACCATCTTCTGCACCCTGAGGTGCCCCAAAGGGCGCGGGGTGAGATGGTCCCTAAGGCAGGAAGGAATTCGAAGTGGTGGTGAGTTGTCTAGCGCATCACCAGCAATACGCTAATCCTTCTGCCCGGAACTTTATCGTTCTACCAAAATAATTTAAACAAGGAAAAAAACGAAACAGGGGTACTAGACGTTGGCAGGGAGAACATGAACGCCCCGCCAGACCGAGTGACCGAGGGACAGCCTCTCCTCCTTGCGGCGCCTCTGTTCCCACGAGACCGCAAGCAAGTCAACGTCCTGGACAAGGACCTTGAACTAAAAATCTTTGAGTAAGGGGAAGCGTAAGCATGCGGTCGCATAGTCCTATAAGGGTTACCCGAGCGTACGCTTACTATGACTATCATATTATCTGGCTGGGAACAAAACAATCTCACTCAAACGAAAGGGTTGTGGGGTAGCTCACTCTCACGACATTTATGTGGTTTGCCCATCTGAATCCAAACATAATCGCGCAACAAGACTCAATCGAGATTCCCTCATACATACCTTCAATTATACGCACAACATTCAAACAACATCACACACACTAAAGGGGTCAACTTTCCGACCTTCTGCAACTCCCACCCTGCCTTATGCACACAAGCCCAACCATTTCCCCACCAGTCCTCAACAAATATACTCAGTCTTTAAGAAACGACCATTTATAAAGAAACTGGGTGAAAACCCAAAGAAACACACAAAACCTGACAAGGGTCAAGGCCTTAGGTTGAGTGGCAGGAGAGGTAGGAAAGTTGAGTCGTAAACCGACAAAACGGCAACCGACCTATTATCAGTGATAACAACAAGGTGATGCTTTTGGAGGATCAGGCTGATCAGATGAAGCTTTCAAGCGAAATACGGAAATATGCAACACAGTACATGCCAAAGAGAACCACTACTATGTTTATGCCAAGAAAGGGAGAGTACTCCCTAAGTCGTAACCTAGCTCCTCTACTAGTACCAAACCACTGAACATCTCCTCTAACCAGGATAGATCTGCTAGGTAACTCCTTGCTGAAAAATATTATAACTCCCCAAATTCTACGAAATTTTGGCAGCGCTTTCCGTAGGAAAAGTGCCTTTTCAGAATTTCTAGAAGCCCCAAAACGACTAACCCTTTCAGATTTGCAGAAATTTCGGCCGCGCTTCCCGTAGGATCAGGAGGCCGTCAAGATTTATACAGAGCTGAAAAGATAGAAAAGGCAAAGCAACTATACTTGGGACTAACTTCTAACACCTGCTTAACGATTCAGGATCAACGACAGTCAGCACGACCTCCAGATGAGATTGTGGGCCAGCATTGATCCTAACTCCTAGCAGGGGCAGTCCTATCTTCATCCCAAGTTCGCCCTCCCACCATCCATTTGATCTACCTATGGCTCCAGCACTTGGCGAGCGTCTAAAGCAACTAGTCTATCAAAACAGACGCCCCAGAGTGAGAGCCCACAAGCATGCATAAACAAACATCTCTCACAATCCCACATAAGTTTGGCCTGAATAGTTCATTAGGTCACTCAGTTCTAAATAAACCCTATGGCATAGGATCAGACAAGGCCCTAACTTAAGGGTATGTCCAACCTGCCTAAATAAGTTTGGCATGAATAAGTTTGGCCTATGGCATAGGATCAGACAAGGCCCTAACTTAAGAGTATGTCCAACCTGCCTAAGTAAACAAGTAAAGTACGCACAATTGGACTGCCCTAACTTAAGGGTATGCCCAACACCACATAGACTCTAGTCATAAAACATATAACCAGACCGCCCTAACTTAAGGGTACGTCTGGCTTCTGCTTAATTGACGACGTGGAGCATAAACTAGACTGCCCTAACTTAAGGGTATGCCTAGTCAGCTCATAGATAAAGTTACATAGGGCATAGGATTAGGCTGCCCCAACTTAGGGGTGTGCCTAACCTGCCTAAAACAAGTACGAACGACGAATGGTCAGACCGCCCTAACTTAAGGGTACGTCCAACCTACATAACATCAACGACACGAACCTATCACTAGGCCGCCCTAACTTAAGGGTACGCCTAGCTAGCTTAAACAGGTTTAGGTACATAAGACAACATGACCAGGCCGCTCTAACTTAAGGGTACGCCTGACCTGCCTGAACAATCACAAATGACGTATGACTAAGCCGCCCTAACTTAAGGGTATGCTTAGCCTCCGTAAAGACAATATAAGAAAACAACCATTGATATACGTATACAAACTTCATATGTTTCTCTCTTATTAGGCAGATGATCAGACCTACCCAACTTAGGGAGACATCCAATCCTGCCTTGTGTTTAGAAGGGAAAATAAAAACAGATTTATACTAACTCTCATCATCTTTGTATTATTACGAGCATCAGACTGAACCGCCCTAACTTAAGGGTACGCTCAGCCTGTCCGAGTTACCTCCATTATATTCTTCATCCATCTTCCTCCTCTTCTTGTTCTACCTGACTTACTGACTGGCTTTCCCAACTTAGGGTGCCCGGCCTGTTAGAATATAAATTCGTATAATATTATATTAAAATTATATACTTTGGTTGACTTTCATGTTCATGGCTTATGACTGAGCCGCCCTAACTTAAGGGTACGATCAGCCTTATGCCTGTGTCCCCCTCAGAAAAAAACACACACAGAACTGGGTCTACGCAACTTAGAATATCCCCAGTCCTGTTTTCAGCAGCCCACAAAAGAAATATCAGGATTTTGAGTCCTCCCAACTTAGGGTGTCCGTCCTCCTGTTCAGAAACCCCAGAAAAAAAACAGCGACTGGTCCGTCAAACTTAGGATAGGCCCAACCCTCAAGATCATACAGTCAGTCCAGCAAACAAAAATAAAACACAGCACTGAGCCTACATCAACTTAGAGGAGGTCAACCTTG